CGCCCGTCTCCTCGAACACCTCACGCACCGCCGTGGCGCCTGAGGGACGACAAATGAGGAGGTCATGTGACCTCTGGCTGCAGCCTGGAGGAAGCCAAGGATGGATATCCAACTTCTCCAAAATAAGAGTCGGCTATTTCGATTAGTTCGTGTTACTAGCAGCTTTCTCAGGTGGAAACAAAAGTTTACTGTCTATACGAAATCGGAAGATAAACAATGTCATAAACCTAACCCTAACCCTGATCCTAACCCTAACCCTAACTCTGACCCTAAACTTGACCGTAAACCTGACCCTAACCCTAATTCTAACCCTGACCCTTCATAATTGTGAGAAATGAATATTTTTGGGTTAAACTTGTTTGGATTTATTGTACAAACCTATTTAACATCCACTATTTTAACATAATATTATGGATAGAGTTTAATTCAGTGTTTGCAAGATTAATGTCACTATTTTTAAATTAATGTCTATATTGCCAAGAGGCAATTAGTATTTTCTTGCCTGAGATCTTCCTATTGGTGACCTAATCAAAATGGCCGACTTGGATGTGGGGGGAGTCGGATATCCATCCTTGTTCCGGCAGTCTGCAGATGGATTTACTGGCAGAAAACCCATCTCTGCTCCTTTAAATATATATATATAAATATATATAAAGTAGAACCTCTACTTCTGATGCCTAAACTTACGAATTATTTCTTTTTAAATCTCTCTTATATAACTAATTTGTTTTATTGTTATGTGTAATTATCTGCAGTATTTATTAAGAAATTATTGTAGGTTTTTGGGCTGTGGAACGAATTAAACAAATGATTAAACATTTATATTTGGAACGTGTTAAATTCATATGTAGAGGTTCTACTGATAAATATATATATACAGTATAAATATATATATAGATATTTTTATATGTAGTAATAAAAGTTTGATGCTGCTTTTGGGTTGGAGCATATATGCATTTCTAGCTGCTTTAACATTTACAAAAAGGTGAATTAGGAGAACCAGAACATGTGTATCCATGATATGCCTTTCTTTGTACAGTAAAACATGAATGTAAGATCTTTAAATGCATCTTTAAGCTAAAAGAATCTAGTTAGATGTACTGTATTAGCTGTTTTTGCTCTACTGACCGATGTTTTCTCCCGGATCGGACAAACCACCCGGGAACTTCCAGGCGTTCTTCGTCTGAAAACCCAGAAAAAAGTAGTTTTTTTAACATGAATTGTGATGCTACTGTACACAAAATCCATCACACACACACTGCAACAGCATCTAATATTCCCACAGGAAGAAAAAAGGTTGAACGCCTCATTCTGAAGTGAGGGAAACAATACTGGTTCACCACTTATTGTTGTTCAACGACAATATGCTGCTGGTTAAATTATGACGTCTGAGTGTAAATATATTTTTATAGTTTAACAAATGTAAAAGATAGATGCTGTTTTTTGTCTTTGAGGAAACAAAAATGCACTATAGCTTTTATTTCCATGTAAAGTTGAAGAAGTTGAATATTTTTGGAAATTAAAACGATTCTGTGCAACTCTAAAGGTCGTGTTGGTTGTTTTTCTGCTGGTTAAAGGGACTTTTTCCCTTCAGAGGCCTGA